TGTTCCCTCACTACACTCGCCTGCAAAGGGTGAAACACAGCCTCGTGGTGAGAGCATGAAGCCTGGAGGCACATCACCTGGGTTCAAATCACTGCCCTCCCACATCCTAGGGGTGATCTTGGGCGCCTTAACATCTGTGGGCCTCAATCCCCCACCTGGTAGATCAGTCACAGTGTCGGGGTGAGGGTTGAGGGAGCAGTGCAGTGAGCTCTCTCAGACCCTCAGAACGATGCCTGGCACACAGTAGCCCGTGTCAGCAAAGGTGCTGTGATAGCTCCACGGGCTGAATACCACCCACTGCCAGTGACCCCATGGCTGTCTCCCCTCAGACCTCTTCTCTGATGCCCCATCGCCTGCTTGACATTTCCACTCGGATCGCACAAACACCTCCAGGGTAACGCGCCCAAGAGAAGACAGAATGCTGGATCTTTTCTTTCCAACCCGGCCCTCGCCAGACCCCACCCTCCCCTACCCCCCTCGGCTTCCAGCGCGCTAGGAATAAAAACCCAGGTTCCTGAAGGAGATCTGGTTTGTGCCCATCTCATGTTGGAGCCCACCACCCTCTCCTCTCCCACATGCTAAGCTGCCCACAGTGGCGCATGCTGCCCGCTGCACCCCATGCTCTCTTCCTCTGCCCGCCTTGCACCTTCTCCTCCACTGGTGATAGGATAGAGGCGAAGAGGACACACAGAAGGCGATGAAACAGCAGTCTCATCACCGGCTATCTTTCCCACACTCAGGTTACTTTTTTAAAATATGTATTTTTATTGATATCAGAGAGGAAGGATGAGGGAGAAAGAGAGAAACATCAATGATGACAGAGAATCAGTGATCCGCTGCCTCCTGCACACCCCTCCCTGGGGATCGAGCCCGCAACCCGGGCCTGTGCCCTGACAGGGAATCGATGCTCAACCACTGAGCCACGCTGGCCGGGTAGGTTACGTTTTTGATGATGTTTGTTTAGTAAATGGCATCTTACATTTTGGTCTTTCACCGCAGACAAGCTTTGTTTCACATTTAACGTGCACACTCGTCACTTCCGCAAAGGAAAGCACCCTTCCCTGTTTCCTGGAGCACAGAGCCCTCTCGGTGGGCCTCTGTCTTCCCGCTGTGATAAGGGGCGTGGGGACAAGAACTTCATCACTCTTCTTTGAACCCTAATTCAGATAAGCCACATCAGATGATAAATGGCAACTCAGAGCCCGCGTCAGGAAAACAACTGAGATTGGGAGAAACTTCCAGAACCTGGACTGTGTCCGCATTGAGAAGCGGGAGGAGGTTCACTCAGTTCCAGTGGATTCCTGCTAGGAAGTCAGCTCAGGAGGCCAGGCAGCCTGCTTCTGAGAGAAATGGGACATCAGACTTTAAAGCCACCAATGCTCCCCCGCTCCACCCCAGCCCCAGGTTCTGACTGCACTGGCCAAGGCCCTGGACTTTAAAGTTCCCGGGGACAGCTCAGGCTGAGGACCCCTAGTCCCGTCCAGAGCTCCGTCTTCACATGGACAAACTGAGACTCAGAGAAGCTGGACGCTGCGCCCAGGCACCTACCTAGTTTGAAACAGGTAGAGGCAGAACGCAGCTCTCAAGGCAGTGCCTGCAAACTACGGGCCAGCACAGTAAGACAGGAACAGCCTAATGGCCTGTCAGCAGCCTTTTCAAAAGGGCAGGTAGGAAATCAGAGTGCACTCCACACGTGGGGTACGTGTTCTTACATGACACTGAATATACCACGTGTGCATCGTCTCCATGTGCCTCTCCAAAGGCGAGTTCTCCTCTCCTCTGCCTCGTTCCCAGCCCCCGGAGGCTGATTGCACACCCCTCACTGGGCCCGTGTCAGGGTTTCCAGGGGGTCAGCAGTGAGAGGCACCAGCAGAGCGCAGGGCTGCAGAGCAGAGCGTCCGGAGCCACTCTTCCCCGGGGGTCCTGCTCCCGGCACAGCCCTCCTGGGGTGCAGCTGCTGACAGCGCCCCTTCCCTTCAGGCCCAGAGGGGCAGCACCTTCCCACTGGGCACAGTGCCTGGGGCTTCAGGACCCTTTGTGGACTCCTCACGCCTGCTCAGGCTTCTGAAAACAGTCCTGTATTAGATGTTCCTGCCAGGGCATACAGAAGGAGACAGAGAAGCATATAGCATTGGGTTGCAGTTTCAGGATGTGAGCGGATTTTAATGTAAACCCTATTGCTTACTGTGGGTTGTGGTCAGAGAAGTCTGAGAAACATTGCCATGGTTTTCCTGACTGCAGCACGGCCTCCCTGGCTGATACAGGAAGCTACTGGGTTGAGACGCTTAAAGAACATTTCAAGAACCTTCTTTTCAACTGTTAGTGTTAAATAAATCCTAAGTCATGGCCCCAAATGCGGAAGATGTGTTTATTACAATGAATTTTTAAACAATGTTTAACACTGCCCTACTGTGGAAAGGGTCCCCGTGGTAGCTAGCACTTAGCACTTATGAAGGAGATGAGAGAAACTGACTTAGGGACCCCCAAGTCACTTTCTAACTCTTAAAAATTCGTAGTCTTATCAAGGAAACTCAAGTTTTAAAATTTCTTCCTAAACATAAATGAAGCCATTTTTGTCATAGCAAAGTCCCACGCTAAAGACTGTACAGGGTCAGCCCAACTCTCACTCATTCTGCAGGGGATAGAAGAGAGGAAATGAGGCGGTTTTCAAAATGTCTATACGCTGCTCGTCTGTGCAAGATCGAGAGTAAAGGGCCAGAGAAAGAAACGAACATCCAGGTCCTATCATTCTCCAGAACCATCTCTCAAGGTGTCCTGTGGCCTTTGCAGATGGCTAGCAAGGACAGTACTCTCTAGACCAGTGATTGCGAACCTATGACACGCGTGTCAGAGGTGACACGCGAGCTCATTTTTTTGGTTGACTTTTCTTCGTTAATGGCATTTAAATATATAAAATAAATATCAAAAATATAAATCTTTGTTTTATTATGGTTGCAAATATCAAAAAATTTCTATATGTGACACGGCACCAGAGTGCAGTTAGGGTTCTTCAAAATGCTGACACGCTGAGCTCAAAAGGTTCGCCATCACTGCTCTAGACCTTAGTCTAGTCACCTAAGTCCATACATCTGGAGGTCAGTGGCCAACAGAAACCCAGGAACATGAGACAGTTCCTTCACTGGGCCTCCTTCCAATCGCCAAAGGGGTGAGTCAGATAGAACGGCCCACTGCTATATTCACACAACACTGTATTTAGGTATGGGCGTCGCTAAATCCAAACACAGCTACCCAATATAACAAGATTCCAAGAAAATGCAATGACAGGAAAACAGGCACCAGAGAAAATGGCAATGGGTATTCTTTCTGACTTGTTACTGCACCTCCTTGAAGAAGCACCGCCATCCCTACCTCAGTATAAAGTTGTGAATGTTTACACTGGCCATTCACGAAAAATGCAACTTCATTCTGCCACCAGAAGGCAGGCAGCACCCGCCTGCCTTCATAACAGCGACGAAAACTTGTGAAATGCTTTAGACACAAAGTGCCTTTCCATAGACAGGGTGTCCCCCAAAATGTATACACGCACTTGGAATCATTTTAAAGGCGGCGTTTATTAAAATGTATTTCATTTTCAAAATTGAGCTAGCAGCTGCTTAAGTGTGTATACTGTACGTTCTGGGGGACACCCTTCAGTTCTGCTCCTTAGGACATCCCCGTGAAGTAGGGAGGGGATGGAGAAGAGAGAAGGAAAGGTTCACAAAGGAGATGACTTGAAACTCAAACCAAACTTCACCACTGGGCATGGAACCTGGAGTCCTCTCATCCGCTGTACCATGCTGCCTCCCCCAGGTGAACTCACCTGGCTGCACACCCCAAGCTTTCTCCAGCCCGCTACTGAAAAGACCGGGAATGAACAGTACGGAGAGTCTGGGTTTCCTAGGCTTGACTCCACAATAGGAAACAACGTACCCCAATAACTAACAATCTTTCTGAGCTCATCACTAACACGCACACACACGCACAGTGATGAGTCTGGGTTTTTATGATTTGAGTGGCTTCTAGTGGCTGCTGTGCTCTCAGGGGAAGGTGATTTGCTGGGTTCCATTTCCCGGCCTATATTGAGCTCCAAATCCTTTTGCTTCCCTAAGGGAATTGGAAAGGTTAATAAGAGAGAAATCTCCAGTAGTTAAACAATTCAGTAGCCAGCGCCCATTAGTGGCATTTGTAGGAGCAGCGGCGTTGGAGAACGTTACCGGCTGACTTAGAAAAATGAGGCCTGTTACCTAAACTGCCCTAACTTGCCCTCTCGGAATGCACATCACGAAACAAAGGCCAGCTGACCTCGGCCCACACCAGGGAAGGTTTCCACTTTGTGTTGTTCGGCACCTTGCACATCATCCTTTTTGGTGCCTGGCCGCGGGAGGGGAGGGGAGGGGAGGGGAGGAGAGGCCTCCACACCAACCTTCCCAGGTCCCAGGTCGCAGGAAGGAAATGAGGCTCGGCACCCAAAACGCCCTGGAAAGTGACTTGCGGAGGGAATCGCCAATAAAGTGCCCCCCGCGGTGTTGGCGGCCAAGGAGGAAAAGGCAGGCTCACATGTAATAAGTTTAGCAACTTTCTAGGACAGGGAACGTGCTCTAGCTTTGGGCTCGATGGCTCGCTTCTGACCCAAAGCCGAGCACCCGCCGGGCAGTGGCCCAGATAAGGACGCGGCCGCGGCGCGCGCCAATCAGCAGCGCCCGGTCCCCGGAGCGCAGACCGGCCAGTGCGCGGCGGGGACCCGCAGCTGTTGATCTCGGGGCCATGTTTTTAAAAGCAGAGACCGCGAGCGGGTGGGGAGGGAGCCCGGCGGCCGGAGCCGGGGGGAGGGCGGCGGCGGCGGAGACGCGGCTGTCCCGGGAAAAGTCGGAGTGGAGCGGGCTGCCAACTGGCGGGCCCGGGGCGGGGCGGGGCGGCGGGGAGCGGGAGAGGAGCGGCGGAGGACGGGACCCCGCGGCTCGAAGTTCCGCGTCCGGCGGCGCCGCGTGGGGGCTGCTCACCTAGCAGGAGCGTGGTCCAGGTCCGGCCGCGCCCCGCGCGCCGCAGGCCCAGCGCCCCGCGCAGCCCGGCCGCCAGGCGCCCCCCGAGGCCAACCCCGGAGGGCGGCGCGGCGGGCTCGGCACGGGGCCCCTTCCTGCCCGCGGCGCCCTTGCGCCCGGGGGACGGGGACGCGCGCTCGGGCCCGGGCTCCCCGGCGTCCGGCGTCCCCCTCCGCGGCGACTGCGAGGCGCGGGGCGGCTGGGGCGACTTGGGGGCCGCCTCCCGGTGCTTGTTCCGCGCCTGCAGGACCATCTTGGCATAGTCGCGCCCTCTGGCTGCGCGCGCCCGGACGGCGGCCGGGGCGCCGCTCACTCCCGGCGGAGGGCGGGCCGGGAGGCGGGGAGAGCTGCGAGGCCGGGCGGCGGCTGCCTGCCTAGCGCTGCGGCCGGGAGGAGGCGCCGGACTCGCGCGCCCGCCGCCGTTGCCTCTGCTCCGGTTGTCACGGCGACCGCGGAACGCCGGGGGCGGGGGCGGGGACACCCAGCGAGAGGCCCCGCCCCCTCGGCCCCGCCCCGCTGGGCGCGCGCTCCCGACCGGCCAGCGCGCACGCGCAGACTTCGGCGCGGGCGGGAGCCAACCCCGTGGCCGCCCGGCGACCCCGGTCCAGCTCGGGACCCGCGCGGAAGTCGGTCGGGGCGAGGGCACGCACCGCCTTCCGGGCGCGGCCGCCGTCCCTCTGGGAGTGGCGGGAAGGCAGGGCCCTCCCCGGGCACGGGCCGCGGCTCCCAGTCTTGGCCCGATCTAGGCTGCGCGTGGAGCCCTGCGGAGCCCGCGTGGCCCAGGAGGCGCGGCGTGGGCTGGCTGGACCCGAGAGGCGGCTCTCGGAATGGCCACGCGGGGGCGCTGTGCGGGGACTCTGCAGCCCCCGTGGCCCGGCCGCTGAGAAGTGAGTGGGTAAAAGTCGAGCCCCCTCCCACGTTCACGCCACTGCGTGGGGCCTCGCAACTTAGCAGGACACGGAGTGCAGCCCGCTGGTGCGCTCATGCGATGGACGGTGCAACCCGACTTACAAAGACAGCGGGATTCTTAGTGTCACGTGCTGTCACCTTGCGGCTTAAAAGAAAGCAGGAACTTTATTTGCTAATAAAAAACTTTAATCGAAAACGTATTTTTTTCCCCATAGCCTCGGAACGCACGAGTAAAGGAAATCTTAAGGGCTGGGAAAATCCGGGCGGGTGAGAGTTGTCCCTCCCCTCCACCCACCCGCCGCCTCCACATTCTTCATGCAAATCCTGGAACCTCCTGGATAATAATAGTCCAGTGGGTTTAGCCCAGAAAGTTGTCCATGAGTCGCAGTTTTGTAATCCAAGCCACATGGTTCTGATTTGATGATCCCCATCGTTCTTCCAGGGTCTTCCCGGGCCTGTGGCCCCCACTCTCACACAGATTCCTTCCTTACGGAAGTTAATGACTGGCATTCGCTATTATGCCGTTTCTAAGGGACAATGCATTATTTTGTACAGGGAATTCATTTTGCATGCTAATTAATAGTCCCGCATACGCTACATTTTGTGAACTTGGATTTTCAGGTATCTTTTTTGGAGCAGGAAACAACTATTTTTAGACACTTGTGAAAAAAAGATTTGAAAGTGGTATCACAGAATGCTTGGATTTTAATACAATGTGTCAGGTGGGCCCAGTGTTACCCTCTTGGAGCAATTTTGCATTTATTACCCATTGGATGAAAAGAACCCTAATTTAATGTCTATTAAATATAATACGAATAATTTGTTGACTGATTTTTTTTTAATTAGAAAAAAGCACGTGGAAGAGAGGTTTACTATTTGAAGTACTGGATCACTTATCTGTCTCCTTTACACGGTGGAAGGCTTTTCACACTCGGAGGATGGCGGGGCAGAAACTAGAACGCCCATGGAAGCCTCGGTTTCAGGGACTGCCTCCTTTCCACTGGTCCCATTGTACCAGAGAAAATACTTGTTGGACGAATAAATGAGTGATGATTGAGTGCATGAATGAAGGTGGTAACATCATCAATGATAACAAATGATGATTCATTAGGCTGTGTTCGGTGCTGCACTTGAAAGTCACTTATTTCTAGCCCTTCTCTCCCATGGCCTTAATTTGTAGAAGACAAAGAATCTTTCTTACTCACTGTCACATTGTGCCACAGAGCCTATCCCAGACCTGGCTGTGGGAGCTTGCTGAAGCTGAACTGAATGGAAAGAGTCACACCTATATTGAAGACACCCTCACTGAGTTCCACCAGTGCTGACCAGTCCTCCTCTTGGGCCGGTTACCAAGTAGTGACTCCCAGAGAGGAAGTGTAGGGTGTTGGATAAAAAACATGATAGCTTTTGGCCCAGATTCCAGTCTTTGCTCTGACATGTGACAGCCCAGATACTAGATATTTTTGAGTGTCGGTTTCCTCATCCCTAAAATGAAAGTAATAAAAACATCTCCACAGCAGGTTTGTAACAATTAAATAAGACAATTGCCCAGCCAGCGTAGCTCAGTGGTTGGGCGTTGATCTATGAACCAGAAGGTCATGGTTCGATTCCCGGTCAGGGCATATGCCCGGGTTGCAGGCTCTGTCTCCAGTGTGGGCTTACAGAAGGCAGCCGATCAGTGATTCCCTCTCATCATTGATGTTTCCCTTGTCTTTCTCTCTCTCTCTCTTTCTCCCCCCTCCTTCCTCTCTGAAATCAATAAAAAATATTTTTTAAAAATAAACACGACAATGTATATAACCTAACAATTACTTCCATGGAGGTAATTTTTCAATAAATGTTCAAAACAGTGGATGGTGTATAAGGAAGATGGTAGTTCCTTGGCCCTCCCAGAGCCTGAGGCTGCCCGGGGTGGTTAAGCCTGGACAAAAGAGTAAGCAACTCCTCTTGCCCTTCCCCCCCACCCCCACTCCCACCCCCACCCCCAAAAAAAGAGGATGTTCCACACACAGGGAGGGTCCTGGTGGGGTAGAAACTGGAACACTTGTGGAAGGTCACATGTCAGATCTCATCTTGTCTTTGACACTGAGCTCTACCAGAGCAGCCATTTATTCATAGCTGTATCCTCCGGCCAGTGCCTGCCACACAGTGGCGGATGCGAGGAAAGAGACATGGAAACTGAAGGCTGATTTAAGCACTGTGCTGGGGACCGTGTGTGGCTGATCCTAGGAACTGATTCCAGGTTGCCATGAATAGATTGAGCGTCGCAATGACTGACCACCTTCATCAAGCTTTCCTTTGCAGGAGCTCCAGGCACACCGAGCAGGCATTTCCTCCTGCGACTGTAGAAATACTGGGCCCAGGCAGACGGGTTCCAAGCACCGGGACCCACCAGAGCCGCCACTCAAGAAGCAGCCCTGGTCTGGTCCCTCATGTGCAAACCCAATCCTTTTCTCACTAAATGTTCCACTTTGGGCATTTGAAAAATAAATTAATTGAAAAATAAAACTTTGGGGCTGGAGAGAGAGGAGATTAAAAGGAGGAAATGAGCATAAAACAAAGAGGAAGAGCGTAAAATAAGAGAGGCAAACAAGTAAATTCCCAAACGATATAGAGACCACAGGAAAGAATATTGTTAAATGGGCAAGGAAACATCAAATGAGGCCAAGAGAAGACTATGCTGGGAGCCAACTTCCTTCTTCTGCACATTGGATTTTTTTTTTTAATATATATTCTTCTTGATTTCAGAGAGGAAGGGAGAGGGAGAGAGAGAGAAATATCAATGAGAGAGAGAATCATTGACCTGATGCCTCCTGCATGCCCCACACTGGGGATTGAGCCTGCACCCCGGGCCTGTGCCCTGACTGGGAATTGAACCAGGACCTCCTGGTTCATAGGTCGATGCTCAACCACTGAGCCACACCAGCTGGGCTACACATTGGAATTTAAAGGCCCAATAAAACTCCCAGATTTCAACACCGTGACGGCCAAAGGAGAACCCTGACTGTGGCATCCATCTCTCACTTCCTGGGACTGGGTCACTGGATCTCTTTATTGGAGAAGTACCTCAGCGTCAAGTTCTAGCTTCTGGCCATTGTTGCTCCTGCTAAAAGAGGTAAGGCACACTCCCGGCACGCTTCACAGTGACAGAAAGTGGGCGCGGCAAAGCTTATCTGTGCGACACCCAGCACTCAGCAGATCGCCAGGCTTCCCCGGGCACTGTGTTGTAAGACGCCTTTGGTTTCTGGGGAGAACACGTGTAAATTGCTACTCTATTGCTTTTCACATGCATCTACTGTCTTCCTCCTAGCTGACCTGTCGTTTAAACTGTTCACACTCCAGTGAGCATTCCTGAGCAACTCAGAGTTCATGGTCAGGTCTGGTTAGAGTTCATGTCAAGAACCACTTTATCACCCTGTCGGTGTGGCTCAGTGGTTAAGCCTTGACCTATGAACCAGGAGGTCAGAGTTTGATCCCTGGTCAGGGCACATGTCTGGGTTGCAGGCTCCACCCCAGTAGGGGGTATGCAGGAGGCAGCCCATCAATGATTCTCTCCCTCTCTCATCATTGCAGAGGGGCCTGAATCTCTAAAATGCAATTCCTGTCATTGAGGCTAGCTATGTCCTTTGGACCCTAGGAGATATCAGCAACATTAGCATTCATATACTAAGTCCCCGTCCCCAAGGGGCTTACCGTGGAGTTGGAGAGGCGGGGTAAGCTGGAACACAATATAGTCATGTAGGAAAAGACATGACTCGGGGCAGAAGCACAGAGACGGCTCCAAAGATACAAGACTATGGACGCCACGGCTGAGGAGTTCCCAGGGAAGAGAGGAAACTCGGTCTAGACCCTGTGAGAACAACAGGTTTTGTTTGAACAAAGGAAACCTGAAAAAGGCATTCCAGACAGAAAGAAAATTTCCGAAACCCCTGTGTGCCTGGCACGTAGTAGGAGCTCCTATGAATATCTTAAATCTTTTCCGAATGAGGGAGGGAAGAAACGACAACTATAAGCTTGAGAAATACACGGATGGATTGCAAAGACCGGGTCATTTGGAACAAACCTTTGTTGCTGGTCAGATTAGATGTAGGGTTCATATGACTGGTTCCTGGGCCACTACTCAGGGGAAAGGGGGGGGGGGGCAGAGAGGACGCTGAGGTTTGGGTCTCTCAAGCAGCTGCGCGTGGAACCGCAGGGAAGTGTCCCTGAACATCCAGCACAGGCCACCTGCTGACCCCCCACCTGCCTCATCACGGAGGAACTCTACCCTCACCGGTTTTTCCTCCAGGATCCCATGACGAGCTTATTTTAAAGATGGCTCTACACCTTTAAAAATTCAAGTCAAGCCCAGCCAGCATGGCTCAGTGATTGAGCATCCACCTGTGAACCAGGAGGTCACAGTTCAATTCCCAGTCAGGGCACATGCCCGGGTTACAGGCTCGATTCCCAGTGTGGGGCATGCAGGAGGCAGCCGATCAATGATTCCCTCTCGTCGC